GAACCTTAACTTTATGGTTAGGAATGAAAATGGTTTCTTGATGGAGATGCACCTTTTAAAATAAATTGAGACACATAGCTGAAGAGGTGTACACTAAAGTGTTCTTAGCATGTTACATAAAAATAACTTCACAGTTACTTTTTTTTAACAATATCCTTCCTTGTATTTCAAATCTTTTTCTTTTTTAAAATTCTCCTTATTAGTTATCCGGTGCTTTGGAAAATGCAAAAGCTGAGATCCAAAGAATGCAGCATGAAAAAGAGCACTTTGAAGATTCCATGAAGAAAGCTTTCATGAGGGGTGTATGTGCATTAAATCTTGAAGCTATGACTATATTTCAAAACAGAAATGATACAGGTTGGTATTTTACTTAAGATTCTCTGTCTACTTTCAAAAAGGATTTGAGATTTCAGTGATTGTTATGGTCTACAGTACTAGTTTTCTGCAATAGGTATGTCTCCTCCAGGCACTGTATTTTTAATTTCATAGTGTCATATCCAGCTTTAAATCTGTCATGAAAATTCACTCCCTCATGGTTACTTGAGGTATCTTAGATCTGATGCAAGTAAACTATCAACTTTTATGTCTTTAAGCTCAATATTACATTAATGTTTTGAATGTATAACATTTTTAAGGCTCTTTAATAATTAAATGCCTCTAAGTGCAAAATTTCTATTTTTGTTTTTTCCTAAGTAGCCAAATTCCTTAGATTGTTTTGTTGGTTAAAGATTTCTTATCTAGTCATGGTTTCCCATTTTTAAAACTTGCTTGTTTTCCAGTTTAAGAGAAGCCTCAACTAAAACTCATTTTGAACAATTAGAAATATAGGACTGTCTATAGAAGTTAAAAAACATAATTTTGGTTCAAGAAAGTCCATGTATTGGCTGGGATCTGAGTGGTTGTGTCAGAGTTTCATCAGCATGACTTAGAAGAACACGTGACTAGAATCCTTTGCCACCAATTTACAATGAGCCCTATTTTCCTAACGGGGTTTTAGTTTATTTCTCTGAACAAAGAAGATAATATAAGCCTTCTTTACCTGCTTATTAGGGGGTTATTGGAATACAGTGAAATATACCTGAAAACACTTTAAAAGACAAAAAGTACTTTATGGTCACGATATAATTACTGTAGTCTTAGTTCAAGTCACCCTCCCATATTTCATGCCAATACATGAACATTTTTGCAGTATGCCTTCATAGTAAATCCTGTTTGAGACTCACAGTTAATTTATCAATGAGAGTTTCATTTTGTAACATCATTAATGTGATTTCATTCCAGTGAATAACTTCTCTGTGCTCATTGTGCCCACATTTTAAAGCATCAACAAACATATATTATTTAAATTGTGCACATTGTGGAAGGTAGAGAGTTAAGGCAAGTTGTTTTGTCTATGTAACAGTTGAGGTGTGTGGCCCATATGTAAGTTAGAACCATAGAATCTCAAGGCTAAATAGTTTATCTTGCTGATACCCCAACGTATGCTTGATTTCTCCAATAAATGATCTTTTAATTGAGTATCAACACTGAAAACAAACTCACCACCTCCAATGATAGACTAGTCTGCTTTCAGTTCTAATCATTAGCAAGCTATATAGAATTTAATTATCTAATTAGAAGAGATATTGGGCTCTACAAGTAAGGTGCCAAATTATTATTAGAACTTCTTACATTTAATTACAAGAAGCCTGTTTTTCATAACCTACTGAAGAAGGGTATGAATTGCCTTAGGACAGAGTATTTTGCCACCTTAATAAATTGACCATCTTAAATTTTAAATTCAAATACAGCTATGACTCCTACATGCACATGTCCATAAGAGGATTTGAAGAAAATGTATTCTGATAACTACCCAACATGATTTGTTTTGTTCCTGTTGCTTTTATATCTACCATCATCTGCAGCTAAGGCCAAGTTCTGGGAACCCAACTGTTTGAGTGGCCTTGTGCTTTGTTTATCATAACAGTGAGGGACAAAAATGTCAGGAAGAATAAGACACACACTAAGCAGTAGTGTTGGTGGAGCTACCAAAGGCACAAGTTCAATGTCATCTAAGCGGGATTGGAAGTATGATGTTTAGGTTTTGTAACATTTTAATAACAGCTATTTAAACTTTTTTTTTCAATTCTCACAAGAAAAAAAATTACATCTGGCTCCCTTTCTTCCCTTAAAACAGTGGCTTTTTATAATCCAATTTTTAATAATGTGATGTTCCTGATGTCCCTGTCTTGTTAGCGCAAAACAAATACTTGATGTTTTTATTTGTCCTGATTCTCTGCTGTCTAGCATCTGCAGTACATCTCATGTTGTGCAATATCCTAAAGCTTACATGTTATAAATTAGAAGTTTCTATGAAGGAGGCAAAATGTGACAATAAAAATGGCCTTTAAAATGATACCTGCCAATAAAAATTTTAGGAACAGCAATTTTAGGAACAGTAGAAAAATACTTCACAACTGAAAAAATTTACCACAGTTAAAGCAAGAATAATTATTAAAGCTTACAGTTATCCGATGAACAGGAACTGCATACAACAGTCCACATTAGTGAGAGTTGGTCACCTTCCTCTCTTCCACGGAGTCCCAAGGCCAGATCTGACCTGTGTACTGGTCCCACATCTGATACGAAGTCTACCAACCACCTAAAAAGAGACAGAATTACTTTCTATCAAAAACATGTTACATCTCAGTGTGTGTGTGTGGATTTCAAAGCAAAAGCAGTATTTTATATTGAATTAGTCCTTCATCAAATTATTTCAAAGAACTTATACATTATAGTCCTCATTGAACTTTGTTAATGAAGTAACTATTACTCTATTTTATATAAAGATGGTCTAAGAAAAGGACTTACACAGAACACAGAAGCCCAAATTTCTAGATGGAAAGAGGACAATATAGAAAACCTTTTAAACATAGGGTTACATACTTGGACATATTCTGAAACATCCCAGTGAGTGAATTGTAAAACTTTCACCCAGTATTGGTACCACGTGGATATAGTCTTAAGTGGAAATTTTAACCAAATTCTAATACTGGGAGGAAAAAATTTAAAGTAGGACCCTTTGTCCTAGCTTCTGGAAGCTGATGTTACTCACTCCTTTGATCTAAGGGTTAAGGTTCAGTTTTGAGAGAGGGTTACTATATGTGTGTCACTAAAATAAGTTAAGTGTGCAAATATGCATATGCTCTTAATTCATGACTTGTATAATCTACCTGAAAGAGCTCACTTCTTTTATAATGTCAGATTTTACTTACTGAATAATTATTATTTTGCTGAAAAAATCAAAATACATTGTTAGGATGGGAACCATGAATAGAAATGAGAGGGGTATGGTGGTATCACAAAATTATTCTAAAGATCTAAATACCATTTATCAGGATAGTTGTATGAAATAATGCAAAAAGACACAAATCCTTATGCTCATTGTGACCATATTATTGTAATGGCTGTGATGGCAATACACTTTACTCAGCTGAGGTCCAGGTGAGTACATAATTGTTACCTTTTCCGTAAGGGCAAATCATTTATTAGCTTTCATATGTTGAAGGAAGCAGTCTTAAATCTTTAGTGGTTAATGCTGACATTAAGCAGTTAAAACTGACAAACATTAACTGGACATAGTATCCATATATGAAAAATTTCTACATTTCTGGTAAGACCAAATTGTAGCTATTATGTGTTTTCATTGTTGGGATAAAAGTAATCAAATTGGAAGAATATTACTGAAATTAATTTGTGATTTATAGGGACAGACTTCACAAATAATAAGGACGAGTATGGTTCTGGAGTTCAAGGAAAGGAACATTCTGCTCGTCTGGATCCTTCGGCTGCTTGCGGGCCCTCAGCGGTTGCACCAGCGCCGTCCCCACCAGGAGCAGCTGTGGGAGTGACCAGCGCCGTCGCCTTTCCCTCTGCGGCTTCCGTCACTTCTGCAGGCGCTGCTTCCACTTCTGTTCACCTTCCTGTTTCTGCTCCTCTTGGTGCTGGAGCTACTGCTGCCCCAGAAGAAATGGTTAGTGCCGTTCATGCAGGTGCCCGCGCCACAAAGAGGTTCCCAATTTGTTTGTATATTGAATATTTTGAATATATTGAACATATTTTCATATGGAGAAAAAGCCTATAGGGTAGGCCAAGTCACAGAAAAATTTTAATACACAAAGTGCCTGAACATTAATTTGTTAGGTTCTACTAAAAGTTCTATTACAGTAGTGATAATTGAACAAAAATAAAGAACTTTTTCATTTCTCAAGAACTAGTCAGGAAAAATAGATTTAATTTAGAGGTCTTGTTTTATTGTTTTTGTTTTTAATTTTGAAGGAAACTGGTGGGTATTTTCAAGGGCTTAGGAGGTCATGGCTTTTTTATATATTTTCTACTCAACTACAGCCTTCCCTCTTCCCGGATGCACACATATCATTAACACTACTCTGTAGTCACTCCATCTTGATTTGATTAGGTTTTAATTTTTAATTCATAATTGGAATGAAGATAGGAATAGTTTTCCTAGAGTCACCATTAGAGAAGTGCATAGACGGAGAGAATATTGAATGGGGATGGAGTAATTGTGTGAGAATTTACCCTGAAGTGAAATTCATCGAGCTATTAATACAGTAAGAGTTACCTACAAAGTACATCATGGTTCTGACTCCTCGGCCTCCTGTTGGTAAACCTGTATTCTTCAGTGTTTCTCAAGAGAGAACTGTGTAGGGATATAAGCCAAACACTTAATCAGACTCACCTCTGTCTTTAATAAAAAACAGAGCAAAACACTATACCCTCCTTCCCACCTTTAGCTTTGCACAAAGCCATGTGTAGTTCTATAAAGGTCCTGAGATTATTCTGATTTGTTTGTCTCCCTCTTCTTACCACCTTAACCACTTACATAAGAAGAAAGATGGTGACAGAATGGGTTTTAGGTCTTCCAGCTCCCCTGGCAGGCCATCAGAAAGTGCCATTATCTTTAGTATTCCAGCTGACTTGAATTTCTGCCTTTTGAGAACTACCAGCTCTGGAGGAAAGTGTTGAGATCTGCTATTTATCATGTTTGCTCTTGATTCAAAGAAGTTAAAAAATATAGCTGTTAAGAGAAATGTGAATGTGTGAGGGAGTTTTGACTTAGAAAAAAGACACTAAAATTCAACTTTGAAGTATGTTCAGCTGTGTTTATTTTTCATGATTACACATTTTGAAGTGTGATCCTACACAGATGATCTCATTAAAATAAACAGTGTTTATTTAAATCCCTAGTTTGTCATTCATGTTGCATATTCAGATAACACACAAGAGCTAGATTTTTCAGAATTCCCTCCTTAAAATACAACTGCACCGTTTGTACATCCGCAGTAATATAAATCTGAAAATGCATAAGAAGAACCGAATGAATGAGTTTGCTTCCCACCCTTTTTGTTACTAACTTTTTAAAACAATTGATAACCCGAGATAATTTTGAAGTCTTGGAAACCTGAAAAACACAGTAGTATGTAGACAGTCCTTCTTCCCCCACCCCTCCAACTACCTGCTACTCCTTCAGAAACAGATACACATTCAGTTTCATTTCTGCAAGTACAGCCATGAGGGCTAGGAAGAAAGGAGAATCACAAATAAGCCAATCAGTAAGTGTAATGCTGGGTTCCTTCCTTCCTTGTTATAATTACAGTACTCAGATTCGCCTGAACATGTCATCTTGTTTTTAAAAAGAACCACTTCACAAAAGTAGGAACAAATACGTTAGTTGGATAACTTACCTAGTGTAAAGCTATCATTAGGATCAGGAGGAGAAGAGAGAATTGTGATCCACACCTTCCTGTCTTTCCAGTTTAATCACAGAGGCTTCCTGTGAACATGCGGAACTTTGCCCAGTCTTCCTCACTATTTCCAGTAGCTAAAGGGAGGTATGTGCAGAAGGCAAACTAAAGAGACTTAGGAAACCAATAACTGGAGAAAGGAGGGTCACCATTCTAGTGAAATAATACGTCCAACTGTAAAATCCTTTCCTTTCTGCACACATCCTCAGGGTGTGAAAGAAAATATCAGAATTTCATGGCGAGAAACATTTTTCAAAAAATACATTAGGTAATCATACAAGCAAATACAGAAGGTGCCCAAAAAAATATATACACATTTTAGGAAAGGAAAAAACTGTATTAAAATTGCAATACTCAATATATACTAACTATGTATATAATACAAGTCACGTGTATACATTTTTTTGGCACCCTGGTATATTGCGATTCACAAGGCTGAACAACAGATGGCACTTTACTTTTTCTAACTCCATTTGGAATAATTAAGGAATTTTAGTGGGATTTTTAAGCTACGTGGTAAAGTTTCCCATCTAACTTTCCTTTTTCCTCTAAATGGAAAATGAAAGAGTATCATTAGGCAGTTGGTGCTGCTTTCCCATTTTATAAATGAGGAAATTGAGGCTTACAGACAGTAACTTGCCTGTGGACACAATTAGTAAGTAACAGAATTAGAATTCAGACTTCAACAATTTGGCTTCAGAGCCCTGTACTCTGAACCAATAATCTGTGTTGCCTCCATGTCAAATATTAACATACAAATATTGGGGTTTTTTACTGTCATTTCCCTTTTTTCTTATTCCTTTTGTTGTTTGCCTAGCTAATACAATTAGTTGACAGTGGGGGAGGGGCAGGGGGAGAGAATGAGTACATGGATGTTACTCCTGATGTAAATATAATTTTTCTGGAGTATTGTCAAGTAATAAGCAACAAAAGCTGTAATAGCTGCCATTACCCTTTGATCTGATCATCCCATTTTTTGCAACATACTCTTCAGAAATTACTCAAAAGAAAAGGGGAATTGTTTTTTACAAAAATTGCTATCTATAATAGGAAAGGAACTGAGACAATTAGATAAACTATAGTGTGTTGGTATAAAAACTCAGAAATGATAGCAGGTCTCTCTATTCATGGAAAAAAGTACATTATTAACAAAGCAATAAGAAAAAAGGCAGAACACAAAAGCATATGTGTAATGATAATATTAATTATGCATATAAAGATCAAAAGAGTTCATAAAACAGATGAATGATTGCCAGGGTTAGGGATGGTGGGTCAAGGAGATAGGCAGGACCAAAGCATAAGGGAAATCTTGATGGTGGTGGAAGAGCTCTATATCTTGATTGTCATGATAGTTATAAGAATGCACACAAGTGATAAAGTGACATAGATCTACAGCCAGGCATCATACCAATGTCAGTTTCCTGGTTTTGATATAATTATACTATAATCATGTAAAATGTAATCATTTCCAGAAACTGGGCAAAGAATACACAGGACCTCTGTCTTTGTAACTTCCTATGATTCTATAATTACTTCCAAATACAAAGTTTTTAAAAAGTTCATGAAGTCCTATAAAATAGATGGTATACCAAGGTTAAAGGAATGTTTTGGGGTGTTTGGTTTTAAGTTTTTAATTTTTCCATGTTAAAGTTGGTTGAATATACAATTATTTTAAGTGCTTTTGTATTCATAAGTTATAGAACCAAAAGTACTATAAATTTTGCCATGGGTTTTCTATCAACTGGATATTTCTTGCTTTTTTCAGTATGTGCCCAGAGTTGTGACATCTGCACAACAGAAAGCTGGAAGAACAATCACAGCCCGGATCACAGGGAGATGCGATTTTGCTTCAAAAAACAGAATTAGTAGCAGTTTAGCTATAATGGGAGTTTCTCCTCCCATGAGCTCAGTTGTTGTGGAAAAACATCATCCGGTCACAGTGGTGAGTCCACATTTACTGACCTTTTACCTTTTATTTATTTATTTATTTGTTTTGCCTTTTTTGTTTGTTTGGTTTTTTTGTTTTTTTTAATTGGGGAATTGGGGGAAGGGGAACAGACAAGTTGCTGTCCTTTTGTTCTTCAGTCTAGTTGTGGAGGACGTTGCTTCACTGGCCCAAGTTG